TAGAGAAAGATTGAAGCAAAAACAGTGATAGATTGGGGCCAGCCCAGTGGCGTAGCAGTTAAGTTGGCACGTTTGCTTCGGCAGCCCAGGGTTCGACGGTTCGGATCCCAGGCACAGACCTACACACTTGCTCAGCAAGCCATGCTGAGGCAGCGTCCCATATATAAGAGCTACAACTCCATAACTATGCTACACAACTAGGTACTGGGGCTTTGGGGAGAAAAAAGAAAAAAAAGAGGAAGATTGGCAACAGATGTTAGCACAGGGCCAAGCTTCCTTAAAAAAAAAAAAAAAAACTCTGTAAGGGCAGTGTGGATGTAAATTAAAAAAAAAAAAAACAGTGATAGACACAGATTCATCATGGCTGAGACAAGATTAGAGAGATGCTCAGAGACAAAAGCAGGCAGAGAAGTGAAGAGACAGCTGCAAGGGGCTGGGGCCAAGAGGGCAGTGGGATGGCTCGGAGCGGTTGCTCCCGACCACCCCCCAAGTACAGGCCCTGTCTCAGGGCTGTGGGGGCCCACCCGCTGTGTGGCTGAAGAGGAATGTGGGGAGCAAGGCTGGGTCACCCCTTGAGGGCCAAGCGTGTGCACTGTCAGATAAACTACCCCAGGAAGGGGGGCCCCAGCTGCGGCTGCATGCTCCAGGAGCATAGTGGAGAGGCCGGGCCCGAGGCTGGAGCCCCAGCCCTGCCAGACACCCAGCTCCTGCACCTCCTCCTGAGGGTCTCTACCAGGCCTCGTATTCTAGAAGGTCCCAGGTCTCCCAGCCCAACCCTTGAGGGCAGGCAGATTCTGCTAGCCTCCTATTTACAGAAGAGCAGGGTGGACCCTGGGAACCCCACCAGCCACAGAGCCTCACTTCTCCAGCTCTGGCTGCAGTCCTGGCTCAGGTGAGGGGGCCAGGGGTCACTAAGCTGACCATGCAGAGCAGGGCCTCCAGCAGAGGGGTGCTGTGGTGGAGCAGCTGTGCACAGGACTGTGAGTTGTCCCCATGTGGCTTTGTGCACGACTGTGGGTCTATGTGCACGTGTCCATGTGCTTTCTTGCATGTGGGGGTGTGCAAAGACGTATGTGTCTACATGTTGCCAGGAGCCCCACTCTGCCTCCACCAGTCCCTGCTGTGAGACTGGCGCAGTAGCCCCCAGAGGCACCTGGTCTCTCCCACCCCCACCGGGTGGTCCAGCCCAGAGAGCCATGAGGCAGAGGGGGAAGAAGGAGCAGGTCTATTGCCGTCCTCCGGCCCCCCTCCCTCCGCTGCAGCTGAGGCTCCCGCCGGCCACGGCCTTGACCCGGCACTATGGACTTTTCTGACATTGGCATCGGATCTGAACATCTGGCAGCAGGCTGATAAGGGGTGCAGCGGAAACAGCCTCTGCTGCTGCCAGCAGCCCCACCCCCTCCACTGCCCCGCGAGGGGTCTCCACATCCACAGTCCTTCTGCCTCCAGAGGGCCCCACCCCTCTCTCTTTTCTCATTCTCTGCCTCAGTCTCTCTCTCTCTCTCTCCCATTTCTTCTATTCCTTTCTCTCTAGCTAAATTTCTCTCTCATTCCTTCTCCCTGCCTCCCTCCCTCCCTCCCCCCTCTCTTTCCCCTCTCCCTCTCCCTCTCTTTCCCTCTCTCTCTCTGACCATCTCTGGGTCTATTCTGCTGTCAATGGGTCTCCCATTTCTCTCTTTTCTCATTTTTTGCCTCATTCTTTCTAGGGCTTCTTTCTTTTTCTGTCTGTCTGTCTGCACTGTACCCCAAACCCAGCCCGCTGATTCTGTCTCTTCTCCACATCAGTTTCTGGGTCTCTGGTTGTTTGTTCCTTGTTCCACCTCCAGGAAATCAGCCTGGCACTTTGGGAAAGTCCCCACTTAGAAGAGAGACCCTGGGCTTTGTTTGCTGGGGGAGGGAGGGAGGGAGAGCCCGGGTCAGGACTACACCCCTCTCCTTCCCCTCTGGGTGGGTCTCATGGCCTGGGACCACCTGGGCTGGAGCTGGAAGGAAAGACAAATGGGCCACCCAGGGGCTCTGGCAGAGTGGAGAGGACGCTGCCTCTGCAAGCCCAGGTTCTGGACTCCCACTGCCTGGATTTGAATCCTGATTCCAGCACACTCGTGCTCTGTGACTTTGGGAAGATGCCTTGTCTCTCTGAGCTTGAGTTTCCTCATCACTCAAATGCTGCTCATGGGAGGTGAGCGGAAAATACTACCTACCTCCCAGAACGGTGGAGAGGGTTATAGACTGACCACGGGTGTGGGATGGTTAGTAGGGGACCCAGCCCATATCGAATCGGGCCTCTCCATTCCCAGTATGCTTCATCTGGTCAGGGTGAGGGCAGAGGAGGGGCAACACCGAGGAAGGGAATGCCAGGAAACATATCCAGGGTGATGAGGGGTGAGGAGCACCCAGCCTGGGTGGTGGAGGGTGACAGCTGACTGCCCACAGAGAAGGCGACAGGACAGGAGGAACAGGTGGCAGAACTCAACACACCGAGGGCAGCATGTGGGGGGCTTTGGTGCAGGGGCAAGCAGTCATTCAACAAACACTCCCTGTGGCCCCAGAGACAAACAGCCCTGAGCCTTTCCTTGAGGGTTGCCCACGCAGGGGTGAGTCACTCAATCACAGAAGGGCAAACAGTGTTCAGGATGATGTTGCAGGCTCAGACTCAACACAGAAAGGGCCCCTAAGGACGGACCTGCCTGAAGGACCGTCCTTCAGCTTGTTTGTGTTTTGCTAACATTTATTGAGACACATGACATGCCAGGCAGCCACTGCATATTAGGTTACATATGTTGTCTCATTTGTCCCCATTTTATGGAGAGGACATGAGCCCCAGAGAGGGGAAGTGATTGGTCCCAGGTCACACAGCTAGAAAATGGCAGAACTGGGATATACTCCAGAGTCTCCACCACTAGGCCTTCGGACAGTTCTCCTTCTCAGGGCTCAAGGCCTCGCCAGGAAACTGGCAAAGCCAGGCTGGTTCTTTCTGTGGAGCCACAGTGTTGAAAGACCCTGTCCTATTTTAAAAGGTGGGGAAAGTGAACTCCATTTCACAAAGTCTCCCATCAAAAGAGGTGCAAAGGGGGGCCAGCCCTGTGGCCAAGTGGTTAAGTTTGGTGTGCTTCACTTTGGCGGCCAGGGTTCAGTTCCCAGGCTTGGACCTACACCACTCGTTGGCGGTCATGCTGTGGCGACAACCCACATATAAAATAGAGGAAGATTGGCACAGATGTTAGCTCGGGGCTAATCTTCCTCAGCAAAAAAGAAAAAAAAAGAGGTGCAAAGGACCATGATTATTTGTGGTTGTTGTTACATTTGTGACATGTTGGTGATATAGGGTATTTACTGGAATACTTCTTTTTTAAATTCAGAGGATGAGTGGTATTAATCCAGAAACAAAATCACTGTATTAAAATGGGGAGACTAGTTAGTTTCAGTCATATGCAAGAGAAGTGTATCTTGCAAGAACTTTGTGGATGAAAAAGACATAATTATGAGGTCATGCACATTGGGGAATAAGTTGCATATTATGTCATAGGTAGAATTAGAATATATTGAATCAGTAGAATCAGTTAGGTTGATTGTCAGTAAAATTATTGTCATCTGTGTATTTTGACAATAAAAAACATTTTAAGTGGCACAATGAAAAAGAGACACTAGGTTTTAAATAGAGTTGGCTTCGGGCCGACCCTGTGGCTTAGCGGTTAAGTGCGTGCGCTCCGCTGCTGGCGGCCCTGGTTTGGATCCCAGGCGCGCACCAAAGCACCGCTTCTCCGGCCATGCTGAGGCCGCGTCCCACATACAGCAACTAGAAGAATGTGCAGCTATGACATACAACTATCTACTGGGGCTTTGGGGGAAAAATAAATATTAAAAAAAAAAATTAAAATAAATAAATAAATAAATAAATAGAGTTGGCTTCAATTATCCAGAAAAATCCCTCTCATCCCAAGCCAGACAGGTGAGGTGTTCTGTGTGATTTGTCTATTTCCTCAAATGAAGGGGGTCATGTGGGGGTTCTCCACAGTGACAGCCTCGTGGTCCCCCTATGCCCCTCTCCGCCCCCAGGTCTAAAGGCTGGGAGGTAGGTCCTCTAGGGACAGAGACTCCTTCCCTCTTCTCCAGCGCCTGGCACCTGGTATGTACTCGGTGAATGTGAGACGAACAAAGGGATGCACGAAAGAAAGCATCATACATGGAAGGGGTGCAGAGCAGAGCAATTAGGGCCCTACAGGACCAGGACAGTTCCAGACCTGTCTGGACCTGGAGATTCCACAGGCTATTTGGGGAGACCTGGCCTTCTAGACAAAACCCCCTTCCCTTTGTCCTGGCCTGCCCTCGCTATCCACTTGGCGCAACCTAGGGCCACTAAAGCCAGCCACCTGGCCCTGGAGGCAGCCTCAGCCCAGCCTCAACTTTCCAGCTATCGGCTGGGAACATCAGCAGCCCACGGTGGATGGGGACATCCAGAGAACCAACATGGAACGTACATGGGAGGTGTTCAGTCAGCTCACCTGCTTGCCTTCCATCCCCCTCTTCCTTTCTTCACTTCTGGAAGAGTAAAAAGACCAGGCCCCAGCAGCAGGGCCACCTGGTCAAGTCATCCACACCCCTGCCTCCGCGCCAGCCTGACCTGACTCCACTCCCATGTCTGGGACAGGCGGGACCCCACTGGGCCAGGCCCCGGGGAGGTAGCCATTCTAGGGGAGAGAGGCCCGCTGCAGGCGGGGTGGGGGAGCCGCCCATAAATCAGGCCCCACTCCCACCCAGTCGCTAACAAGCAGGGCTGCCTACCCGCCTACATGGGGTCCCTGCCGCTGGGCTCCCACAGCGGCCTGGAACAGCCAGCTGGCCAAGGCCTCCAGAGTGCCTTGGCCTCTACCCCCACCCGCGGCCCCCAGATAGATAGGGCTATTTTTTTTTCTTTTAGGAGAAGAAAAAAAGAGACCTAAATGAAGAGAAACACCAACAAAGAAGGAGAGAGGCCTGCAGAGTCACGTGGGGGCAGAGACCAATTGGACCTCCGGTGGCCCCCCCCCAGGGCGGGGAGGAGGAGGACGGACGGACAGGGCCAGCCTACTGTCCGCCTGCCGCCCGCCGCGGCGTGAAGGAGTTCCCGTGTGCCCACGGTCGCCGCTGCCCCACTTGGTCCACCAGAGCCTCCCCTCGGACCCCCGGTGCCCACTGTTCACCCTCGTCCAGCGTGAGAGCTCGCCTTCCGCTCCGTAAGTGAGGGCCTGGGCCCAGGCCTCTAATGGCCAGCCTCCCCCTCAGTGCCTCCCTGCGGCCTGGGCCGGCCGCTGCCTGCTCTGCTGAGAGACGGGTGCCCGCTATTCTGGGCAGGGAGGGGGCCAGGGATCTCCCCAGAGCCACCCGCCCACCAGGCTACCCCCCTCTTTTTCCCTGGGCAGCTGATGGGAGGAGCTAGGCCTGTGGGGACAGGCCCTGTGGAGGTCTGAGGGTGTCCCACTGTCCATGGGTGGCCAGGCGTTCACAGGTCTGTGTTGGCCCAAGCCTAGTGGTCTGTGAGTGTGTCCACAGTCCCCGGGCCTGTCTTTGGGTCTCTGGGTCTCCCTGCCTGTGTGTCTGAGCTGCCCCTGTGGATCCGTGTGTCTGTCTCCAGTGTCCATCTGTCAGTCCGGGTTCTGCCGCTGGGCCAGGGTCTGTTGGCTTCCTGGGGCAGGTGGGTGAGGGGCCGCGATTCCCTACATGTGGAGCTGGACCCTGGGGCTGTGAGGGATGGATGCCATGGGGCCTGGAGGGTCAAGCCAAGGGCTCCCACCCTGTGATAGAGGAACCTGTGGGGAAGAGGGGGTCGGGGTGGAGCGAGAAGGGAGAACTGGCTCAGAGCCCAGCCCCCACCCCACCTGGCCCCCCAGCCCAAACCTGCGCTTACACACACTGCCTAGGTCCTCCTCAACGATGTCTAGGAGACCCCAGTGGGCTCTACGCTAGAGAAGCCGTCTGGGGAGCCCCCAGCCCAGCCCTCTCCCTCAATCCCCTTCACTCCCCGAGAGGCGGTGCGCTCCTGTTTTCCACTTTGTGGAGCTGTTCAGAGGCAGGAGCCCCCACCTTCAGCTCCGCAGATGCTGCTGTTTCTCAGGGGCTTGGGGTGGCGGGTCTGCAACGAACTCAGGCTGCAGCTCTCTCTCCTCCCTCCTCACCAAGATGCGCCCACGGAATCTCAGGGAAACCGCAGAACCCCTTCTATAGGGCCGATCTTTTCGATTTTATGTATGGAGAAACTGAGGCTCAGAGAAGCGAAGTGACCTGCCTGAACTTGCAGAGCAGGTGGCTGCAGATTCCGCCCTTCGTTCCGCGGGTGAGTGAGACGAGGAGTGGTCTGCGCGGGGTCTCGGGCCTTGGCTCGCAGGACCAAAGCGCCAGCTCTAACCGAAGCCAGAGGCCTCGGGTCGGGGGCCCAGGCGAAGCCGGCCGCAGTCAACGGTCCGAGCCTTCAGATCTGGGCCTTTCGGTCCGCGCCGCTGCGGAGGCATGATTGTGGCATTTCCCGGCTCGAAGATCGCAGCTCTTCGGCCTCACCGCTCTCAACACTCCCCGACTTCGGTGCCCGAGGGGGCGGGGGCAGGATGCGGGCAGGCCCCTTCCTCTCTCGGGTCTCAATTTGTTCATCTGAAAAATGAGAGTGACCGGTAGACGTTCCCCAGCCTGGAGTAATTGGTCAGCCCGTCCTGGCCCGGGGACCCCCTCGGCCCCGGGCGGCCGGGCGCTCCCTTCCCCGCGCCAGCGCGGGAAAGAGCGCAGAACGGGAGGCGGAGGGGTTTCTCCTGCCCCCGGGCTCTGTTCTCCCAGCGCCCGCGCCCTCCGGGGCTTCGCGTCCTCCCCAGACCTCGGAAAATTCGCAGAGTGGGATTATCCGATTCCCATTTCGAGCCGAGCACACTGAGGCCCATGCAGGAGAAAGGGTTTGCCCCAGGTGGCCCAGCTGGGTACTGATCGCTTACGCAGTGCCCAGCAGGTGCTTTGCGCACACCGCTTCGGTTCAGCCGCACGACCACCCCTAAGGAAATCCTTACCACTTCACAGATGAGGAAACTGAGGACCGCAGAGGGGAGAGATTTGCTTAAGCCTCCAGAGGGGAAATGTGGCAGGGCCGGGCGAGAAGCTGGCTTCTAGCCTCGAACCCGTGCCTTGGCCACAGCTCTCCACTTTCGCCCTTTCCTACCTCCACGCTGCAAAGCGACCAGCGCCCCCAGCGTGGCCCTCGCCACGACGAAGCTGGCTTTGCAAATAGGGGCTCGCCTTCTTCCACCGCAGGCGGGCGGCCCGAGGCTCGCAGGCGCCCAGCACCTACCCGGATTCCGGGGCGCCGGGCTCCGAGGGGCCAGGCTAGGGATGAGCGGTCGAGAGGGCGAGGGTAAAGGCGCGAGCCCGGTTGGGTGGCGGGGTAGGGCGCGGGCCGGGCCTCCGCCCCCGGATACCGCACGCGCCAATACAGAGGGGCCGACCCCTGGCCCCGGCGCGGCGGGTTCGCGCAGCGCGCATCGG